GCATTTAGAAGAGGAAGTGATGAAAAGATAAGTTTATTTTCTATTTAAACATAAAAACAGCATTTTAATAACAGCTAAAAATGACATAGATACTTTATTATGGTATAGTATTTAAATATATGCCTGAGAAACACATAATATTGCCCCTTTAAAGTTTAAACAAGCAGACTAATTATGTATTGTTCTGGTTTTCATATCTTATACTGACACAAACGATAAAAAAAATAGTTCATATTGTGCTGAAATTAATTCAGGGCTAAGGATTGATTTTTCTCTAACATATGATACAAAAACTGACCAGAATAGTGAGATATGGATGTACAAGAAGTCACCAGGCAATTATTTTCCATCAACAAATCGACCGCCTCACAAAACTTAATTTTCTATCTTAAATGATGCAGTCAACAAACCTGAAGCTGAGGCTCTGAAACAGTCACACCGTTAGCAGGCAAAAACAAGAACCTGTGGTGGGCCGATCGATAGAAACTTCATTACCGGGAAGCTCGGCTAGTAATCTCCTTGGCTGCAGCTGCGAGGGGCATACATTCTAGCACAGCACCTCTTCTCAATAATACATCCAGCCTGCACCTGCAGCAGCACAAAGCCACATTCACACCACCGCCTTGATTAACACTCCTGTACTATCCTGCCATCTTCTTTCTTCCTTTTTTCCTCGTCTGACTGCTGATCAAACACAAGCTCACGAGCTTTCAGAGTCATCTTCTGCTTTTCCCCCTCCTGTTTTCTCTCGCGCGGCTCGGGGTGAGCTTTCTCACGTTTTTTGTGCGCCTTGGACGGCTTACAAATCCAGAAAGGGAGAAAACTGTGAAGGCGAGGAGCAGCAGGAGAGGTGTGAGAGAAGAGGGAGAAGCTGAGGAGGTTGATTTGCTTATTAGAAATGGACCTTTGAGGTTCAGGTTTTGCGTAATACAAAACCGTGTGCGTCAAAATAAAGCAAAGCTCCTGCAACACTTAAAAGCATTTTACTTTTGTAGCTTCTTGAGAAATTTGGGTTCCAACAGGATAAAATGATAAATAATCTACTTAATATTGTAGATTTGTTTTGTATCGCTCATTCTTGCTGCAGTAAATCCAGTGAAACATAACTGGTATTTGAAGTACAAACTGCATTTTTAACCCAGGCCCTGATGCTTTTATTGGTCTGCACCTTTATGTGACTTTTGTTCCTGCTTTTTATGTTAATCCAACCAGTAGATGGCAGTGATAGAGCAAGAACACACAGCTCATTTCACTATAAGACAAGAGCAGGTGGCTTTGCAAACACAACTGGAGAGAGAAAATGTTACACAAAGCAGAACTAATCAAATTGTTCGGCTTGTGCTCGCTGACCAGTACTCAGATTATACTGAAATCTATCCATGAAACATCAGCCTCTAGTTGCTTTAATGTAAAAAATGCTGATCCAAGCAGATAAAATTATAAAATAATTCAGTCTTTATAAATTTTTGGGCATTTTCCTTGGTTTTACTGTGGAGGTCAGTTTGTGGGGAAATTATTAACAGGCTCAGAAATCAAATTAATTCCTGTCTTTAAAAAATAAAAGCCCACAAATGTCTCTGGCATGACTTGAAATTGACAAAAGCAATAAAAGGACTAAAAAAATAACTGACAGGATTTTGATCAGAGTTGCTTCTGTCCATCTGGTTCATTACCAAACACTGAGAATGTTTGATTACTTTGGTTTTTTTTAATTCTGTTTAACTCAACAGCAATGATTGATTTTTAATGTTTTTTTAATATTATTACTGTATCACTTCAGTCAGTTTCCATTCTGACCTTTGAGGAATKATGTTTTACTAAAGGGTACAGATAAATTCATCCACATCCACAAATGTTTTCCTTAAATGGTTTCAAGTTTTGCAAAAAAATCAGCCTGGAAGTACCTTCTGAGGTAAATATTCAACTCTGTCACAATTTAAATTATGTGGACTGATTGGATTTCTGTCATGCTCTATAGGCTTACCGCTGAGTGCCACTCCATTAAACTGCAGCAATTATAGGTTTGCGATTAAAAACAGGTCGTGCAGGTTTGATTCATTCAGTAGCACAGGAAAAAGAAACTATTTTAAACCGCAGAGTATTAATTATCCAACAGGCAGCTCTACAAACATTTCGTAACACACCAGCAAGTGATGCATTTGAGTTGAAGTGTTCGCTTTGACACAACAGAGGCAGAGGTTCACGCTGGCAAAGTAAATAAATGGAACATCTTCTGGTTTGTGGCAATCTCCAAATGATGGTAATTAGGGTAAAGAGAGGGTTTTGAGCAGCAGGCTAATTTGTGTTAAATGAGACGATGTATTACCCATCAGACTTTTCTGTTTAGAGATCAGCGCAGCATCCTTGTGTTTTGAATTATACCGTGTTTTACACTGATCAGCTCCAAACAGGTTGGAACTGCGGGACGGAGCAATTATTCAATTTCACTTGCTGGGTGCCTGCTTTGTTCACACCAAGCCAGTTTTTACCAAGAAAAAAAGGAAGGAGGTTTAATTTCGTGTTTGACCATCAGCTATGATTCATTATTCAACACATAATTCAAACCAAACTTGTGGAACTTTTCAAACCAGCGATGACGTCTCCTTCTACTTCTGTTTGGTYAAATCCATCTCACTTAGCATGGAGCTGTTTGGTTGCTATCATGATAGCTTAGGAGCCCTTTGATTAAATGGAAAGATGACTAACAAGCCATCTGTTAGGAAATCTGCACAAAGATTACACTGCCTCATCTCTCTCAGACTCACAACAACAAATGATGTAATTAAGACCAAAGTAATACTGCCTCTTGGCCTCAGCCTTTCGTTGTGCAACCTTTAATTGTACTTCTTTTTCACGCTTTGACTTTTTCACTTCAAAACAACCAAAAAATGGACTCATATATTGTTTAAAAATTTAGCTGAAACCTGTCTAACATCACGGCTTGTAAATACAGATTTTTATTGCCAGCTATCGCCTTTGCTGAGGTAATTTTCTCTTATTTGTCTTAAAATTTTAAGTTCTGTTGGACTCTAGCCGATCAAAATGCACTTTTTCAGTCTTTCAGCATTTATTTAACACCAAAACGCTCAGGGCAAGAGAAAGTACAGAAGTTCAATTCCAAGTTGAACGCAGTCTGTTGTGGGTTCAGAAGATTTCCTGTGTACTATCATCCTTTCACAGAAACAGTTTCAGCTGATACTTTGGTAGATGCTGCGGTGTTTGCTCATTTTTAATGAAATCCATTCCTCTCTACTGTGACAGCTTTTCTGGACAAACTTGCTGAAACAAAAACTCTGAACCATTTCTGTTAACCTCTCTTTAACCGTTGCAAAGGTGTTAGAGTTTAATGAAATTTCTCATTTTTTCACCAAACGTACAGTACCCTTCAGATATAAAACAGTCCACAGGAGGGCGGTTCTCAAACACATCAGTCCTGGTTAAATTTTCAGTTGCAAAGCCTATTTTTGTGGTTCTAAATGCAGTTCTAACAACCTACTTTATCTTTATTGCACACTTAAATACAAGCAAAGTTAGTCCAAAGCACTATCCATTTAATCTGAGCTAGTCAAACCTTGAAAATGACATCAGTGAATATTAGTGATCGTCGTTAAATAAGCCCAGACATAAGATCACAGTGTTGAGCTGACATATAAACATTACTGGCCTTTGTTTTCAGCATTGGAAAATGATTAACGTGAAAAAAGTCAACATTATTTATGTTGATTTTTGTTCCCATTGGATTAAAAAAATCTCCTCGTGTAGTATATCTCCATGACATTTATCATTTCAGTTTCATCATCTTAAATAGCTGTACTCCAGGGCCTCTGTATCTAAATACAGCTCTTGGATGTCTTTCCCTGATCTGCTGCTTTCCCACGCTCTGAAGCCTCCTGGCCGGCTACACTTTGAGTTTGCAGAAACATTATTGTATTTCAGCGGAAGAGCCAAAAAACATTCTAGTTGCAAAATACAGAATAGAGTTGTCATTTATCTACTTTTGGCTCCGTTCTTGTGTTCTGTTGTCTTACAAACTTGACAAATAAAAAAATGTGTGAACTGATATTATTTTGAGACTTAACATTAGACAAGCAGAAGTGAAGTCGTTTTTCTGTTCAACACTAAAAATGGCAACCAGACCTGACTTGCCAAATGGCTATGACAGTCAGTTTTAGAGATATCAAACCATAATTTGGTGTGGTAGTAGCTGAGAGTGATGCCCAACACATAGTTTGTCTGCTTGCTGCTCAGCTCACCCCTGCAAAATGTCTTTAATCAGCACGAGAAGTCAGTGCAAACAAGCGACGACAGCAGATACAGTTTTTAACGCAGTGTGAGAGGAAACAAGTCTGAGTGACAATCTCAATCCTCCGCTGTCCAGCGAACTTCAATCACTCAATTTTTTTTTTCTGAGCAGTATGCTTCCAATCCCGGCAAACAGCTGGCCTGGCATTTAGAACACATGAGGATTAGGGGGCTGATTTAGTTTGAGGCTCAGTCCAGTGGGACCACACCAGCACTTCTGCTGCTCTGTCCTCCTCGCAGCTGGCTGCCTGATCATTTCATTCCTTTTCTGTTGTTTTTTAGATATTTAACAAAAACACACAAATTAGTTGCGGTCATTGTCTCAGAAATCAGTCATATTTGTCAACACTTTTATAAAACCCCATGTCAGAAAAGTCAAAAATGTTTGCCAGGTAGTTTGAAAACAAGCCGTATGTGTCCTGAAAGCGAAATATCTCATGAAAAAGTTAACAAATCTGAATGAAACTCTCCAAAAGTAATTAAAGTCTGCAGATTTAGCATTCTATTAAAGATAGCAATATTCACATTCGCTCACAAAAAATAGTTCTGACTCAGCCAAATTTTGGTGCATAAGTATGTGAGAATGGTCCTACTCAAAGCACTAACACATCAGGATGTGGCTTTGGCGGCCATCTTGAATTAAAACTCACAGCGAGCGACATGCATCCTTTCAAGGAATGCTAGACCTTTAATTTGTAGCATTTTTAACTACTGCTGGATTAAAATAATCTCTTGGCTCTGGGTGTTTCATGTCTTTCCCGGTCATAAGCTCAGCTGATCGTCGCACGCTTTCACTCTGCCACAGGAATACGAGGTATGCAGCTGCTTGTGACGAACTGGGTGTGTGTGCAGAGCGTGCAGGTGTGTGTGTGTGTGTGTGTTGATGTGCTTTGATGKCAAACATAAAAGAGGAATCTGTGAACTCAAGACTTCTCGCCGGCTGTCACCTCTCATTGGTCAGCTCAGGGATCTGATTTGCATGTGGTGGGAGTGTCCTCCAGCAGCACTGAGATGAATGACTTGTTCAAGTCAGACAGAAATAAGGCATAGCACTCAGCAGAGGTCTGCTCAACTCAAAGCTCAAAATGCCTGGGTTACTTGAGCTGCCTCTGATCATGCTGTGAGTGGAGCGTGCTGGTCAGGATAGAAACATGTTCAGCAGCAGACAACTTAGCCATAAAGGAGGAATATGGGTAAGTTCTAAAACACAACATCACATATACTTTGGTTTACTTTAAATATTTTTTCTTAATCAGCACTTTTTATTTTTTAATGCTTTAAAACTGTTCCTTTATGTTCTAAATATATGGACTGAATTAGAAATTATTCAAAAATATCAACTTCTATCTTTGAAATCACTTGTGTTTGATCAACTTTGTTACTGACAGTAAAACAAAATACCATGTTATAAACATACTTAATAAATAATATTATTATTACTTAATTTAACAAATATTGTAGCTCATTAAACTAAATTATGACTACTTTTCTTGTTATAGGGATTCTGCATCTTCTTGCTGTACACGACCCCCCCTTCCTGTCTGGCAAATTTCAGTCAAGCGAAAGAGCTCATCTATAAGATAAAGGAGGGATTACCAAAGGGGACTTTCATCGGGGCTATTGGAGTAGACTTGCATTTGGATTTCACAGTTGATCCCCCCTTTTTATTCAGCCTTTCGCAAAAGAAGGTCAGTGAACAATATGTGAACCTAAATAATACCAGCGGGGAGCTTTTCACATCTGCTACTGAGCTCGACAGGGAGAGCCTCTGTCCATACAGCTCCGAGGGACAGGCGTGTGTCCTCCCACTGGATGTGATTGTTTTGCCTCAGCAGTACTTTCAGCTCGTCAAAGTTAAGATCCTGATTGAGGACGTGAACGACAATAGGCCCAAGTTCCCGACTGATGAAATCTGGATGTCCATCCCAGAAAATGCGCAAATCAATGCTCGATACGCAGTGGAGCAGTCCGCCGTTGACCCAGACTTGGGTAGTTTTGGAGTTCAGACTTACTGGCTGGTTAACGACTTTGGTGTGTTCACACTGGACGTAGAGGAGAATGAGGGTGGTGAGCTGACACCATTCCTGATTGTGACAGAGACTTTGGACAGGGAGACACAGGAAGAATACATTACGGATATTATAGCAGAGGATGGAGGGACCCCTCCTCTGCTCGGAGCAGCTACTTTAAAAATCATCATCACGGATGTAAACGATAACTGCCCCAAATTTACAGAGTCTCAAATTAACGTCACCCTGCGTGGAAATTCCACCAAAGGAACACATTTAGCTCGACTGCATGCCTTTGACCCTGACCTTGGTGCTAATGCTCAGATCAGCTATGCTTACAGTGACCGTGTGCCAAGGGATACCCGCAGCTTGTTCCATTTGGACAAACTCACAGGGGTGATCAAGCTCGCCCGAAACATAGACACGGTCACAGCCACATTTTACAAACTCACCRTTCTGGCCAACGGACCCGGTTGTATCCCGGCTGTTGCAACTGTAACTGTTCACATCATCAGAGTAGTTACTGGACCCCATGCTATCGTACCCCGGTACATTGCAACAGAAAAAGACGGAGTGGTGGCTCTAAAGGAGTCTGAGCCAGCTTTCTCTCCAATTGCTTTTTTCACCGTTAAAAACATTGGAAAGAACCAAAGAGTGGACTGTTATTTGGAGGGGTCTGGTCCCTTCCGGCTCGTTCCGTACCGAGAGCTCAAGAACGAATACCTCCTGGAAACTACAGAGCCCTTGGACTACGAGAAGACTCAGGATTATGAGCTAATTGTGGTGGCTAACAATACTCAAGGTATAGTTATCAAGACTTTTCTGAAAGTGCAGGTTTTGGATGAGAACGACAACGCACCTGTGTTCCAGCAGTCTTTGGTGGAATTATCAATCGAGGAAAACAATCCACCAAACACCTTTCTAACCCAGTTCCAAGCCTCAGATGAGGACGGTGGAAGTCAAGGAGAAGTAATTTACCTCCTTGGAGGCAATGCGCCTGGGATTTTTGTCGTGGATCGTGTCACGGGTGTCCTAACTGTGACAACATCGCTCGACCGTGAGGAAAAAGAGAAATACAGGTTTATAGTCAGAGCAGTGGATCATGGGACGCCACGGAGGGAGTCGATCGCAACAGTGGTGTTGACAGTGGAGGATCGCAATGACAACAGTCCACGTTTCATCAATAAGGACTTCACTTTCTTTGTGCCTGAGAACTTCCCAGGGTTTGGTGAGATTGGAGTCCTGTCTGTAACAGATGCCGATGCTGGAGAGAATGGCTGGATAGCCCTGTCCATCCTCAACGGAAGTGACATCTTCATGATAGACACCGGTCGAGGAGCTCTAAGAGCCAGGACACCGCTGGATCGTGAGCAGCAAGGCACGTACCAACTTTGGATTGAGGCAGTTGATGGTGGGGAACCTGCGCTTTCTTCTATTACCATGGTCACTGTGCTGCTGTTGGATGTAAATGATAATCCACCAGTAGTCCTCTTCCCTCAGTCAAATCAATCGTACATGCTAGTGCTACCTGATACAACCCCAGGAACATCTATCACAGAGGTGTACGCTGTGGACAAAGACACAGGCATGAACGCCGTCATCGCGTATAGCATCATTAAAAGGAAAGGCGGTGAACCGGGTTCGTTTGCCATCGACCCAGAAACAGGAAATATCACATTAAAGAGGGAGCTCAGCAACAGGGGCCTTTACAGCCTTCTGGTGAAGGTCAGTGATCACGGCCAACCTGAGCCGCTTTATTCGACGGTCATGGTAAACTTCTTTGTCAATGAAACCGTGACTAACGAGAGCTACATCCAAAGTCTGCTGACCCGAGGGGCGGACATAGAGGTGGAGGAGAAGCCCTGGTTTGTTGGCCAGATGACCGATGGGCCCGAGAGATACGAGCTGGTCCCCTGTCGGCTCACCCTCATTGTCCTTTCAGTGACATGTCTGGGGCTGTTCTTCATGGTTGTTGTACTGACATCTTACATATGCTGCAAGAGGTACAAGAAGATCAGGAAGAAAAGATCAGATGTGGAAGTACCTTTAAAAATAAAGAATGACTCTGAACAGTTTTTAAACAGAAAGCTCAGGCAGATCTCCAACATCTGATAATCAGTTCTCAACAAGTAAAAAAAAAAAAAACAAAGAAAAGATGCTACCACTGTTTACATGAATGTTTACACATTTTACAGAAAAAAGAATATATTTTACATGAAGTTGCTTTTATTGCTTGGATGATTGTTTTTACAGCAACCAACAAGGTTTATGATTTGGTTCCATCAGAAAGAGCACATCAATCCAATATCTTGTTTACTTAGTCCTCACTAATACTGCCACAAAAATGAAACATGGGGTGTTAGAACTACTGACGTGAGTAATAACAAAACTGAAACAAAGCAACAAGAGCAAAATATTAAATCTATCTTGTGTAAATACTGTAAAAATTCTTTTACAGCTTTATATGAAACTTTTACATCGGCACAAAGAGGAACACGAGAGATGGTCCGACCCTTCACAGCACCTGTCACTATTATTAATATTGTGGCAAAAGTGGTTGTAGTTGAAAGTCGTAGAATCGTAATATATTTATTTTTCTAAATAAAATGTCCAAATATATTCCAAAAGCAAATGTTTTATTTTTTAAACGTGACTGTTGAGAAGCAGTGAACCAGTAGTTCTGACCTGATGAAGCATTCTGCACCGTGAACTTTCATTTGTTTGTACTGAAATCTGAAAATTAACCAAAAGAAAGAAGGTTACAATGTATGTTTTACATTCTTTATTGTTTTGAGTTAATGGGCATCCCACACCATATGATGCTTAGTCACTGAGATAATGTTGGCAAAATATCCAAAACTGTGTTTTATGACACCACCTGACTGAGTCCTCAAAGGTGACCTTATTTGTCATAATGAGTTATTTACATCCCTTTATTTATAGTATCACATTGTTTTCAACATGACTGTTAAAATGCAAGTGTTTGTGAAAGAAAATCAGAGAAACTATTAAAGACACTTTATTTTTTTAATTCACTGGATTTTATTCTCTAGTCAAGTCACTTTTGTGTCTGGTATGTTTTTAAGACTTGTTTGTGTGAAAGTTTTAGTCCTGTTTTTTTTTTCTCAAAGGTTTAGACGTAACAGTTTTTTTGTTTTTCAGCAGATGTTTATTATATTGCCTAACAGAAAACAGCTGAATSTAATTTTCAGATCATCTAATTCAGGCATACGCTTTGGATGTACAATCATTTTACAAACATATGAAGCTGATTTTTCATGTCCGACCCAAACTTAGTGGTTGAGGAYGAAGTGATTTTTGATGGATAAACATTTTGTCCTCTTTAATTTAAATGTTCGGGTAATTAAACAGTTCTTGAAGGAATGCATATCACCTGCCAGTTTTAGACTCTAGTTGTTTGGGAAATTCATAACATTGTGTTAAAATTTTTTAGATCTTCCTCAGAGTTTTTGAAGGACTCTGAGTTGCACATGTGATTTTATCACATATTAATATTGTAGAGCAGGAGTCTGCAACCTTTATGATCAAAAACACCATTTCTGCTGTTTGGGTCACTGATAAAATGTGTCCTGAGCCACAAAACAAGCTACAACTTTGATTATCAACTCGTGGTCCATGGGCCTTTTTGAGTTTGTTGAAGGGGAGCCTTTATGGCCACTGGGGGTGACATTATAAAGCAAAATATATATATGGTGAATATATATTATATTATTATKTTTACTAGTCAGGACAAAAGATTATATTCATGATTATTTAGGTAGACATGTTTTACTTTTCGTATTAATAGTATTCATCACGTTTGCATACAAACAGATTTCGGTTGTGAGTATAAAAACAAAAAAATATATATTCYATTATGTTTGGTCACATTTTCAAAGAGCCACTGCAGAGGACCAACGAGCCACATGTGGCCCCAGAGCCGCAGGTTGCAGACCCCTGTTATAGAGTTAAAGTCACTTTTGTTTTGGCTCGTTCATTATCTGCGGTGGCCATCTTTATTTAGATTTGCTCCAAAGGTTAATCAGTTATAGATSATTTTTAGGAGTTTAATTTAAATCCATCTAGTGGTCCGTGAGATATTTTATTTTGACTGTAACAACTGATGTATGGTTATGTTGTGTTTTCACAGCTGTGGAAACCATGTTGGAATGGATTGGGTCCAAAAGTTAATCAGCTGGTTGTGATTATTTCTTGAAAGTTTCATAAAAAAATCCATCTTGTGGTTAATGAGATATTTTGCTAACAGACAGACATGCTCACTCATGCACAACCAAGCCAAATCATTAATAGTGTCAGTAAAAGTGTTTAGATTGAATTGTCCTTATAATGGATTAGCTCTGGTCGAGACATATTTACTGCATCGTAAYACATGATGTACAGGAAGTGGCATGAAAGGGTTAAAAACCAACAGCCTGACATCTGGATTGCTGTCATCACCTGTGCAGCTCTGAGCTGATGAGGTTAACACCCAGAGTAACACTCTGACAGAAAAAAAAAATCACTATTCTGCAGCTGCTCTTATCTGGAAGGTCAAATCAACGTTTCTCACCATTTCTGATGTTCTGGCTATCACTGTCAGTCCAAATGTGTCAGACTGTGAAAGTGGCTGCAACACTTTCTCCTGCTGCACTTTCTTTCTTTGCTTTTTTTTTTTATAGTTTGGACACAAAAGCTTTTAAGACATTTTGTTTTCTTGTCTCTGGTATGCGCACGCCTCACAGAGGAATTCTGTTGTATCAAGTAGCATTAAAGCCAGTTTGGTTCTTGTAAAATGACAACCATGCAAACAAACCGGTGCTGAAAGCTGCTTCTCAAGTGATGGCAGACTGTTTAGGACAGAAGTGTGTCACGCAGGCAGGCAGGCAGGCAGAGAGCGCATCGGGAAGCTATCAGCTCAGTGTAATCCCCGGTAATCACCTCTGGCCAAACTCTGCATTACACAAATAGGCTGAAAGATGATATACTGCAGGAAACGTACCGGATGTGTACACAGTAACGACAGGTGATAATGGACAGGGCTGTCAAAATAACATAATAGCTCACAAGGCGTGACAAAAAGGTAAAGCAATTAATCTGCCTTGTGTCCTGAGCGAGTTTGACTGGATGCTGATGTTAGACTATTARAAGAAAAGAAAGCTGAAGAACCTTAAACATCCTGTACGAGCTGAACAGACATCTTAGGTTGTAATCTTTTTATAAAATACTAACAGCATCATTTTTAGGCGTATTTTCACATCTATAGTATGTGTGGATGAAGCTAAAACCAAACTGTCAAAGAAGAGGAACAAAACTTAAAGCTAAAAAAATGAACACTATCTAAAATCTAAAAATACAAAAACCCTAGSTAAAAGTAGCAAAAGGCTAGGTAAAAATAGCTGAAAGCAAGCTAAAATTAGAAAAAATAAAAGCTTATAATAGAAAAAAATGTTTAATGCTAAAAGTAGCCACACGCTAGCAAAAACAGACTAACTAAAAATATGAGACTATTTTAAAGCTAAAAGTGGCCTAGTGTTACCTAAAAWCAGCAAAGCTAGGAAATATAATTAGCTGAACTAATTTCTCACAGGGATCAATAATTTTTTCCAATATAAAACCAAACTAGAGGCAGTTTGTTGAAGCACATTTCAGATAATTATTTTTGGACAGAATTGATGGATAATTTGTTTTATGGGGAAAATATAAGTATTGTTTAAACAGTAAAAAAGGGCAACAAAAACAAAAGTCACTAAAGCCACCACCTGAAAGAGCAGCATGTTTAGATGTATAAAAACTAAAAAGTACAGAAAAATATAAAAGTCAGGAAAGTGACGGCGTGAAGACTGAGTTAGCAGTTACAATAAGAAAATAAAACCTGTTGAACTTTGATTAATTGCTAAGTCACGAGATCTTCAACGTACACCTGATAAAAATTGGGAAACTGAGTTGTTTTAAAGCTCCGTGCCTCCAGAATGTTTAGAAAGAATAAATCATTTTTGTTTCAGCCCGGAAGGTTCTGCAGATCAGGAGCCTCGTCGGGACCAAACCTCCTTCTTCATCAAGCAGAGTTCGGAGCCAATCGATTCTGTGGCGATACGTTTCATTCATGCCTGCAGCAAAAAGCTCTCAGCCAACAGAAACATCATTTACTGTTGTCTGCACAATTTCACCTTTATTCTGTACTCTGTGCAAACACTTACAGTGTGTGATTAATTGCAGATAAAACAATGAAGATCTAATTTCTCTGTATCCCATTTCTCTTTCTCCCTGCTCGAGTTTTCCAATTAGTTTCATTTTTTTCTTTCTTTCTCTCAGTGTTGGGACAGGAAATAGTGACGCAAGCTCTTTAGGTTCATTATGGCTCTCATCTGCAGGCTATTTAATAATAAATGGTACCATTTTATGATATTTTATACAATTACTATTTAGACTAGTTATTTATTTGAGCCTTGTTTTTCTTCTGCTAGCAAAATACATTTAAACCAGCCTTTATATACAGCGGGTAAAATTAAGTATTGAACACGTCACCATTTTTCTCAGTAAATATATTACTAGAGG